TGCAGGACGTTTTGTAACACAGTTTGAAGGGAAACAGAAATAGGTCAAGTGTGGGGAATGATAAAAAGAATGAATGGATTGGGATAAAAAGAGAGTTTGGGTATCCAATATTAAGGGATGGAGATACAACAGCTGTAAAAGATGAAGAGAAAGCAGAAATGCTGGCGAAATATTTAGTTAAATTACATAAATCAGACAATATTAGTGAGGAGGGAAAAAGAGGAAGGGAAAGGACATTGGAGCAGTATAAAGAGATAATACAGAGTGAGGAATACAATAATGATCAACTAAATATGACATTAACGAAGTCAGAGTTAAATCGATCTCTTAGAAAAACCAGGAAATCAGCTCCACTGGAAGTTGATGGGAAGTCGGGAGATGCAGGTGATAAGACAACTTGAATATTGTACAATGGAATGCAAGAAGCTTGTTAGCAAATGGTCAAGAGTTTAAAGGTTTTATAAAAGGGTTTAAAAAGAAACCAGAAATCATATGCATTCAGGAAACCTGGCTTAAACCAGTTTTAGATTTTAGTATTAAAGGTTATGAAAGTATACGCAGGGATAGAGAGGAAGATATTGGGGGAGGGTGTATAATATTTGTAAAACAAGGAATACAATATAAGGTTTTAGGGAAAGGAAAGGAGTTGGAATTTATAATAATAGAAGTATTGGGGAAAAAAAGGAAATGTTAAAATTATAAATTTTTATAATCCATGTAAAAGATTATCACTAGAGGTATTGGATGAATTGATTGTACATTTAGAAGGGAAAATCATATGTTGCGGAGATTTTAATGCTCATAGCACGTTATGGGACAATTGTAATGATGGGAATGGAATAGTGATTGAAGAATTAATGGAGATTAAGGATTTAGTATGTTTAAATGATGGAAGGGGAACAAGGATTAATGTAAGAACAGGAACAGAAGCAGCTATTGATCTTACACTTGTTTCAAATTCACTGGCGGGTATATGCTTATGGGAGGTGTTTAGAGAAACGACTATAGGGAGTGATCATTATCCTATAGTGATTGAAGTAAATTTATGTATAGAAGAGTGTAATACAGGAGGAGTAGACAAATGGTTTTTTGAAAATGCAGATTGGGAGGCATTTAGGAGTATTAGTGAACAAGAAATGGAAAGAATTGAAGAGGTTGATGAGGTTGATAAGGTTAATAATGATATTTGTGATGCTATATTGTTGGCAGCAAGTCAGACTAAGGGAGGTAAGGGAGGTAAGAAAAAAAAGAAGATTGTACCATGGTGGACAAAAGAATGTGATCAAGCAATTAAATCTCGAAATAAAGCTTTTAAAATGTTAAAAAAGAATCATAGTTTTCAGAATTTTATTGAATATAAAAGGAAGCAAGCAAATGTAAGGAGAATCATCAAATATACAAAAAAATTTGGACGAAGTTTTGTAACACAGTAACAGAAATAGCAGAAATAGGTCAAGTATGGGGAATGATAAAAAGAATGAATGGGATTAAAAGAGAGTTTGTTTTAAGGGATTTAAGGGATGGAGATACAACAGCTGTAAAAGATGAAGAGAAAGCAGAAATGTTGGCGAAAAATTTTGTTAAAATACATAAATCAGACAATATTAGTGAGGAGGGAAAAAGAGGAAGGGAAAGGACGTTGGAGCAGTATAAAGAGATAATACAGAATGAGGAATACAATAATGATCAACTAAATATGACATTTACGAAGTCAGAGTTAAATCGAGCTCTTAGAAAAACCAGGAAATCAGCTCCAGGTATGGATCAGATTTGCTATTTAATGATAAGTCATCTCAGTGAATTATCCAAGGATGTTTTATTAAAAATGTACAATAAAATTTGGGAGGAAGGAAAATTACCACAAAGTTGGAAGGAGGCGGTGATAGTTCCAATACGTAAACCTGAGAAAGATTGTACAAGTCCAGGAAATTATAGACCTATTGCTTTGATATTGGTAAAAAATGTATAGATGGATCAAGGATTTTTTTTATCAGGAAGAGCAATAAAAGTGAGAATAGGAAACAGTTGAAATGGGGGAAATGTCATTAGAAATGAGAAATGTACAGTTATCACTCAGTGAATTATTGGGTTAATTTACAAGGCCATAGTCAAGAGCATCCAACACTAGATACTTTAAAGCCCTGTTGGGAAAAAGAGAGGAGGAAAATTTTAAGTTTTGGATGGACAGTGATACAGAAAGCAACATACACTCTAAAAAATGCTGGGTTAAATACAACCCAGTGCTGGGTAAAATAGGGACAAACCCAGCAATTGGGCTGTTTTGACCCAGCAGTTGGGTTAAATGTTTAACCCAACCTTCTGGGTAGTAACCCAACCGCTGGGTCAAAACAACCCCACTTGCTGGTTTTTCCCCTATTTTACCCAGCACTGGGTTGTATTTAACCCAGCATTTTTTAGTGTAACTTAAAGTTAATCAGTTAAAGGTTAGTCCAACTGTACCACTACCAGTAATAAAACCTTGGTTACTTTCAGATGCTACAGTAGATTTTACATTGTTAGAACAGAAAAATAAGGGTAAGGAATGTAATTTATATAATGTGCAGACATATATTAATGAGTACTACAGCTATGTTCAGATCTACACAGATGCATCAAAGAGTTTAGACAATAAGGTAGGAGTAGCGTTTACTGTTCCAGAATTTCATTTATCAGTAAGGAAAAGGATCAGTGATGAGTTATCAGTTTATACAGGGGAAATGATTGCACTATTATTAGCAATACAGTGGATAGAAGAGATAAGACCTTTGAAATCAGTGATTTGTTCAGATTTATGTTCATATATTTATGGTCTTCCAGCCACTTCTATCAAACCTCTACAATTAATCCAAAATGCCGCTGCAAGATTAATCTTTAATGAGCCGAAAAGAACACGTCACACCTCTGTTCATCAATTTGCACTGGCTACCAGTAGCTGCTCGCATAAAATTCAAGGCATTAATGTTTGCCTACAAAACCACCACTGGCTCTGCACCCATTTACCTAAAATCATTACTTCAGAGTTATGTGCCTCTAGAAGCTTGCGTTCTGCAAGTGAACGGCGTATTATTGTGCCATCTAAAAGAGGCACAAAATCACTTTCACAGACTTTTTCATTAAATGTTCCCTCCTGGTGGAACGACCTGCCCAA